TGATAATGCCGCGACCTCTAAGCCTAGCCTGAGTGATATAAAACACTCCCGGGAAAAAAACCTAGTAAAAACCCCCCTATGTACAATACCGTTTTTGAGACAGATAAAACACAAAAAATCTCATTTAAAACTCATTTCTCACGGACTAGCCGTAGCCGTAGCCGTGCTGAAGGCGGATACGCTGTACGCTGCACACCGACACAGCGGGGTTCTGAATGTTATTGATGACCTTTCCATTCTAAAGGTCAAGTCCACCATATCCACACCACACCACTTCCACACCATCAAGACGATGACGTGTTCCGTACTGTACCTTCAGAATCGAAACTTAGCTGAATTATACGCATGCAGCATCTCGTAAAGAATTGAACAATTTTTTTTTTTTTTTTTAAGAGGTTGGCGGCCTCTTTTAACCTTGCATTTGCCCGTCCACATAGACTAAGCGCCCGTGCGTGGATCGTTTACAGCAAAGCAAGGAGTGAGCCGGTACAGTACAAAGGTGAACTGTACTGATAAAATGTTATCGGCAGTGACCAGGATCCGAACCCACGACATCGCTGCCTTGGGCCCGAAGTCCGCGACGCGAACTGTCAAATTGACATCGAATATCTCATCTCGGTCTAAAGCGATTAACTTGTCAACTAAAGATATAAATATAATTATTTCATATATATATAGGACAAATGAAAATAATTTGTAACATGTTAATACAAAAAAAGTTAAGCAATAAATGAAGACCTTACAAAATTCAAACACCCGATTTTTAACTTAAATTATGGATTATTGTTAATGTGTATTATCGCGTAGTAAACGATAAAGAAGCCGTTTTTCCAATTCCTTCTACAACTATAAGCACACGATCTTAAATTAGTTTTTGCAATTTATTTTCACTAAAGGGTAACAATTGTTTGCCGTGATTGTGATAAGTTAATGGCCAACGTCTTAAAAGATTAAGTTAACTTTTTACCTTTAGTCAGTTAGGCCTTACACAGTAACATAAAATAAAAATAAATGTAGATTGAGAATTGTAGAACAATGTCCGGTATGCCAGCGTTATCTTTTATAAACCCCCTTTTCACATTTGTTTTAAATGAGCTGAACTTGTAATGCCAATTTGATCACGTTAATATTTGTAAATTAGTTTAATCCGGGATAAAAAATAAACAACACAAACAGCATTCGATACCAACACTATAGCAGATACTGAAGTTGAAATTTGTCATGACGAACAAATTGTGTACAATTTAGATAATATCAAACCAGTACATCAACTCGGACAAACGCCTTTTAGTAAACGTCACCTTACTATGTAGCCACGGCTTTACAAATGCTTTTATCATAACATAAACAGCTGTCGAGTAGGCGGCTTTATAGTGACAAGGACAAACGATGTATCACCTCATATGAATCACCTGATCGGGACAAAACAGCTGTTGAATCGTTATCATTGTTGAATTGAAAATATAATTGAGTGAATAAACTTGATCTAATAAGATCATACCACGGTGGTTTCGTTAATAATAAAATACAAATATATTGGAATTTGTTTGGATTTCTGTTTATATTTTGTTGTTATTTTGTCACCAGCAAACCAACCCGTAAGCCCATGTTATTTTTTTTTAATTTCAAATTAATTTGTCATGCTTTTTTACCCTATTTCAATTTATAAAGGGATTCTGAACATGCACAGAAAAATATATATCATTTTGTGCCAACCGCGTGTAATTCGGCCTAGTAGTATGGTCAGGCTAGCTGTCATAAGTTTTGCAGTTAGAAGTATTTAAATATATAATACAAATATAGTAGTTAAGTTATTGTAATTTATGTTTTGATTAAGTTTTATTAAATGTTTTTACCCTGGCACTAAAATTCTGACACTGATATTGGTAGTCTATATATTTTCCAACAAAGTTTTTCTTTACATTTTCTTTGCTTTACATAACACAGTTCAGCTATAAATACTACTTCTAGGAAGATATTTATTGAATTTAAATTAAAGTGTCATTGAATTAGGAATAAAGGGTTCTTCAAGTTTTAATAGACCGTCATTTTGAAGTCCATGCAATATTTGAATATTTGAAATGTTGAAATAACAGATAGCAAATATTCTGGGATACTTTTAATAACAACCACCCTGAAGTGTATACCAAGTTTGAGTAAACCCCGAAATAAAACAAAATACTGGACGATTTTTGACTTGCAGTATTTAGGTATTTATTAGTATAACCTGGTTCTGCAGAGCCCACTACACATTTTATGACACACTGAACAAAGGAATTTCTCCATAAAAATATTAAACCTTATGGATACGTTGTATATTTACTACGTCGTACATTGCCTTGTGCGCCCCACCCAGTCAAATGACAACGTAGGGCACCACTAATGTGAATACCTTGGCTAAACATACAGCCCGGTCGTCATTTACTGATAGCCCATCAACTAATGTTGTCAAGATAAAACAACACAATTCTATCAACTCTACTGCGCATTTCCGGATATTTATCTTGCTTAGAAACGAAGAAGTCATTTTGATTGGATGGAAGCCAATCAATTAGTACGATATTTTATATAATCCCGGTGTATAATATCTTCAAGATTACAGGCTATAATACTCTCGATGACGACGCATTTCCGAACATTATTTAAACTGTTGTGCAAAAAGTTAAGAACAAATAAGGCTTCATCGACTTAGGAAACCAATTAACTTACTGGTATTTAATAAACTATCTGTGTATAACATCTTAAAGATAAAATTAACGCCTCAATCCTACTTACTCAGACGCATTTCCTGATATTTAATTTGCTAACTGTTACACGATAGAGTTAGAAACGAAGAAGTCACTACAGTATCGAATTTGGAAGAGAACCAACTTAGTATAATGTCAACAATATGAAACGGCAATACCCCATCAACACTACGACACGTTTCTGAATATTTAATTGCTTGTAATAAACCAACAATTCACAGGTTGACTTTAAATGGAAACCAATAAACTAACAACTATTTAATATATTATCTGTGCTAGCGAGCTGGTCCAGTGGTACAGCGCGGGAGTTCGGTCCCCGAGATACCTGTACAAATCCAGTCGATCACCTATGCATTAGATCTAAGTGGTAATGCCGCGACCCCCTCTAGCCTTAGCATAAACTAATGAGGAAAATATATCCAGGCTTAATTTTTGTCTGCTCAAGAGAGAAAAATAAAAAAATAGATCTATGAAAATATCGTATAAAACACATAATTTTGTTACATGTTACGAAATAAAGTTGGAAATTAATAAGGCGTTATTGAATTTGGGCAGAAATCTATCAACTTGGACAACTAGTATGAACACAAATTGAAATACTATGCTTATATCTGTAGTATGTTAAATTGTCGTAAAACTTGTTCCACATGCTGAAGATATGAACTTTCCTATACACTGTGTCATGTTATATAACATCTAGGAAATATTGGTCAATTAACGTTCTATGTTATGTCCATGGAGAAGGTTCCTATATTTATCGATATACAGTATTAAAATCCCTCAGGGCTCTGCCCCAGTTCTTGCGAAATCGCCACGTTAAGCTTGTTAGAGAGCTGAAGAATATTTTTTGAAAAAAAAACTAATTGATTAATTATATTTTTTAATTATTAAAATTTTTTTTAATTTAGCAGCTGAGAGGAGATTATTTTTATAATTTTAAGCTCATCTGTTCCGTTGAAAGAGGGGACAAGGCACTAGTGAGTAATACAATACTTATAACGTGTATTACTGGCAGTAAAATTTTAATCGTTGCAGGATAAGAAATGGTATAGGTGCAATGGAAAGAGTCAATTTTATAGAGCTATAGCTTAACTATTGATCACGAAATTGTTCTATTTCATTAAGAATTTACTTTCTAACAGAATAACTAAACTATCAAAGCTTTAAACAACGACAAAGTGCTGAGTTAGGAACAGAATAAAGAGTGAAAGATTCTCCAACTTTTTATTCTGGAATTAAGTGCAAGACACCACAGTTTTTGGTTACACCCAATACACTTAACACACAGCATTTGTCTATTTATAAATAATTAAGTATAAACTCTCAAACTGCTCACTAACTAAATTATAGCTCAATTTTAAAGAAGTGCACACAAAAACGACTATCTAAATGCAGGTTTCACAAAGTAACGTTCGTTCAATACAATTGGGTTCGATTTAATCTGGGCGAGGCGAGAAGTTAACAGTGAAATGCCTGGGTTCATGTTGTATTGATTAATACAAGTATCCAGTAATTCAAACAATTCTTCCTTTCAACGCCGGTGTTTTACCCCTTTTAACCATTTTGTAATATCGAAATTACCGGCAAGGTATAAGTAAAATCAAACCAAACTGATAAATAAGTATGCAGAAACTTTTATAAATGAGAACTGAAACAATGAACGCCATAGGTGGTTGATTCTGTATGTACCGTCCAAAATAAATAAGGGGAACGACAATATAGAGCCCAAACTGAAACTATACGTTCTTATACGTCCTAGACACTTACACCTATAAAATGCTTGAACATTCCCCCTATCTTTAATACCACCCAGAATCATTTAGTTCAATAATGGAAACGCCTTATAGGCAACCCATATTCTCAAATTCCCACGTTTCCAAACCTCCGTTATGTTGGTTGCAGACTAAAAAATGTAAAATTTGTCCAAAGGGTTATCTTGATAAAGCCACATTTTACGCAGCCAGTTTAAAATAAAGTAAAATCTATTTAGGTTAGCCAGTTTCTTATTTCTGGTTTCGTTTGGATTTCATGTCGTGGTATGAAAAATTATTTATTTTTTGTCTTTACTTGTTGCAAGCTTGCAACGAAACTTGTTTTCCCCGTTTGCTGATTCAGATTGCTTCTGCAAACCCCCTATTTAATCGTAAAGAGTCTAGGTGGCGCTAAAACTGTTTGTGTTGATTGATTTGATCCGCACTTGACCCAGATTAAAAAGAACCCGTCAATCACACAACACTATTCATCTGTACATACCTCTTGCTCGTAGTGCGACGACAGATTGAGCAGTTGCTGTTGCAACGTCTGCACCCTCCGCTCCGCCCCCGCCAGCTGTTCTTGCTTCTTGATGTCGTTGGTCTTGGCCAGCTCGCTCCGCAGACCGTCCACGAACCTCTGCTCTTTCTCCAGCATCAGTTGTAGCGTGTGTACCCGCTCGTACTCAACTTGTCGTTTCTTCTCACCCTGGAACAAAATTGCGGTTCGATCTTCGAAAATTTGGGGAAATCCGTGTGAGTGATTGATGAGAAAATTCCTCATTGGCTGAATCAGATCAAGGAGTGAAGTTATTTACTTCTGCGTATCAAGTGTATCTTAAATATATCCTCGTATGCGATTTAACAGTCAAATTCTGTTTCTTGATAGTGTAATAACCATAAAAATAATCCATGGAATGAGGTTCTGAATACTGTGTTTTGGCCAATACAAAATTGTTATCTAGTGAAGAATTGAGTTTTTGGATAGATGTTTGATTCTCGACAAAAACTCATCATTGGATTAGGATCACGACTGTGGTCAATTGTTTATGCAGCCTTGAATAAATAAAAAATGAAGATTAAGTATGTGGTTGCATCTTGTACCATAACCATACCGAATACACTTTGTTCACTTTGTTAGCAAAGATCATCTTGGATTGCTGGATACTATAATCTTAACTGTCATCCTTCAAAATTAATCCTGGTTCTACTTTGAAGTTTCATTTTGTAATTAGGGTGTATGCCAAAACGTTTGTACAGATAAAAGGCAGGTAACATTTTATGGCTGACTCTTGGACTCGAAGTATTGGCACAGTTACCAAATCGAATAATGAACAAAGGCAATTTTAGCAGCTGGATCTTGAAATCTTGGCTTATATTAAGTCCAAAATTGAACAGAGGACGAATTTGAGGGCGAATCTTGTACTGGCCTATTTCATGTTACGGTTAAATACACAGGTCCTACAGAAGGATCGTCCTGATTTCTTCGTCTATCAAACTTCAAGACAGGTGCTAGACGTTGTGGCTGACATTGAGAAAAAAATTGCAATTAGGACGTAGCAATCTGGATAACTATCAGGAAAAATGGGGTAAATTCATTATTGATACTTAGCGAATATAAATTGCATCAAATACTCCACAGCATTTGGTACAAACTGCATCGGCTACATGCACGTACGTACAGTACAACAAAGCGTGATGAATAAGTTGCTTGCAACACCCAACACCCAGTAAAATCTTGATAAGGCGGCTCGTAAAATGTTTATGACAATTGAGTGAATAGGAGGTCAATCAGGCAGCAGCAACGCCCCGTGGGAGTCAGCTGTAGAATCAGCTGATAAAATCATCTGTGATTGCGTCAGCTGATGAGGCTTAACGCAGAAAAACTTCCGCTATCTTGTTCACCACAACTTTACAGCTTAAATTTGTGTAGCCTACAACTACGAAAAAGTGATTCCTTAGTCTGTGGTACAACGCAGACTTTACTCAATTAATGTTCATGGTGGACTATATAAGATATTGTCAAGTTACCTACTTTATCGATTATTACCCTTTAACTGTTGCAGGAGTAAAATATAATACCAATTCAAATATTTGAGCTCTGCTATTATGCGTGCTAATGGGTGTGCAACTTAACCCTTTCGTTCCAAAAAATCTCAATATTAGTTAAACATTTCGGAACAGTTTCTTGGATTGCCTTTCCCCAATTATCTAAATGTAAACCACGATTTAGTTTGGAATTTTAGTCTATCATTTGTCATCGATTTTATGTATTTTAGTTTACAATTTATACTGTCCAAAACGAATTTAATAGGGTGGAATTAGTAGTTTATGGAACCGTGCAGATTTGAATATTTCTTCAATCAGGTAAGCTACTATCATAGATAAAACATTGTATTGCTTAGTCTAGATGCTACTGTACAATTTAATAATACAAATTACTGTAGACTTCTTTATTTCAGCAGGCTTAAGGGATGAGTGTATGCAAAAATTACAAAAGCTAACCTGCAATAAAGCTTACCTACAGCTAAGGTTTAATAGTAGGCTAACAAATCATTAGGCTATACAAATATAAATGTTCATTTCTTTAGGACTCAAGGTCATTTCTTGGGGACTCTTGTTGCCTTGCCGTGTTACTCAGTCAGACATTTCCGATGAAGATTTAAAATTGTATTCAGGTTTATAAATTTCTTTTACAACTTTCTTTCTCAAGTTAATTTCTACGCATTTACTCTCAATGAAGCTAAATTACAAAAAGTATAGCGTTTTTAACTGTTTACTTCCTTGGGAATAAGAGGGTTAGAGCGGGTAATCACAAAAAAAACTACTTATGACATTATAAAAGCATGTTACTAATTTTGATAAAACAATGAACTTTTAGCTGGAATTTATTTTTGTTGAAAAGGCCTCTTCATAAAATAAACGTATATAAGTTACAGTATTAGTTTTATGAAAATCTTCACTCTTATGTATTTGACGATAGCTATTGTCGCAGTCATTTATATTTGTACTGTAGAAAAATTAGTGAAGCGTATGTAACAAAATTGTACTAGACAAGTAGTCCAATGGAGATTGTACCGACAATCATCTTATTGTCAACGAATCACAGCCAATCTACAAGACAGCGCAGCCATGACCTCCTCAATGCAGTTATCTCAACTTGCATCTTGGCCACCATCTCAGTACCGACGTACACTTGCAGCTTGGCCACCAGGATCGTTATCAATGTGTCAGGGACCGTCAAATCACGCCACCACGCACCGAGGCATCAATCAAATAACCGAATCACCTCAACAACCCTCTCTGTGTTGTAGGTTTAACGTGTGAATTTCCGTAAAAAAAGTATCTAGGCTATCCCAGCACCAAAGTATCCGCTTGTACCTTAGCCTTTCATTCGGTGCAGACGACGTCTACACTTGCAGCTAGGCTTCCCTCTCAGTACCGACTTATTGTTCCTCAAATCGGCCTCCTCTGTACCGACGTCTCAATTTGTAATTTATCCTGTTTTCCTCCAATACTTTTTCTTGGGCATTGTCTCCGTGGTACATTCACATCTCCAATTCCCTAAGCTCGTACCTACTCTCTATTAAACCTGCACATCTATCAGATAGGATACTTGTTTCTCAAACTTGTGGTACTATCGTAAATTCTTCAGTTATCTACGACTGATTCCTTACTCTCTTTTCCCATAACATTGAATACAAAAAACTTAGTTTTGTTCTTTTAAAAGTAATTTATACATTAGCAAAGTTGAATTTGAACACTTTCCAATTACGTACTTAATTCATTAACAAAGCATGGTACTTCCATAATGTTTTGTTTACATCATATCCAACAGCATATAAAATGATCTTGTCCTACCGAAAACTAGAACCACCATGTTCCAAGGGCTAAATAACCTAACATCAAACCTTACAAAAGTATTACAGTAGCAGTGGCACTTACGTCAACAGGCTGAGGCCCGGTGATGCGATCTCTAGAGGGTGCCGAGTGGTGATGTTGCAGCGGTGACCTGGCCATGCCTGGGGAGGCGATGGATCCCGTAGGTGATCTGGCTACGTGGCTGGCACAACGCTGCTGTACCGTCAACACTACTTGCGGCGCGGCTGGAAAATAAAAATAGGATAATGACATGCGGACACAAAAAAACAAGTGCTTCAAACTGTTGCAGACCTGCGTCAACACCACCTGAGGAACAAGAAGTGTTTCTTATCGCCGGAGACCTGGCAAAACTACTAGTATTTAAACACCATCGAAGGAACAAGAAGTCCTTTTAATCGTAGTGTATCTTAGTATATATGTTACCGCTGAACCGTCAACAGAACATGGGACGAGCATGTCACATAGGCACACGTAAGTGCAGTAACTACGAGATCTACACCTACAGGTCCTTATAATGATTTGAACGCTATTTGCACGTCAACGCCACTGGGGGAACAAGAGATCCTTTTAATATGATAGTGTAAAATCTTAGGATAACTGTTAATAATACTGGTACGTCAACTCCACCGAATAAACTAGAAGTCCCTTCCGACGTAGGAGACCTTGATATGTAGCCGCTGAACCATCAATAGTACCTGGGACTAGCATTTCACAGAGGTAAGTAACAACGAGAACAACACAAAAATACCCCCGCCGCAGCAAACCTGCAGACTTAGCGAATTTCCATCTGCCTGATTGGATTTAAACTAAAATGTCTCCTTAAAAATATCACATTTATTCCCTATTTAAACAGAACTAGTGGAACCCCGTCGAAATCGACGGTTAATCTTGAGGTTTTATGTAAATTCAGCTAACTGCGTTGGATAGAGTGAAGTCATTAAAATCTTAGTTATATGAAGGGAGGATAAGCAATAATAAGTATGACGATTGTGTTCCCTAAAAACGTGATTGATGAATTCGTTTAACACAATATTTCCTACCTTTCTTTTTATCGGCTTTAGGTTGCCCAAAAGGTTTTTTAGGAGTCTTATAATTGTTTGTTCATAAACACCCTTAAATCCAAGGCCACACTAAACAAACCTTAAATCATAGAATGAACAACAAGGATATGGGGTAGCTGAACAAGGCTTTCTTTAGATAGTTGCCCTCAAATAAATTGCTATGCTAAAATATTATAATCTTAGAACTTATCTACAACAAATTAGCTGAAAAATCTCATGAATTAACAATTTTTGAACAAACTTTCCTGTTCATGGTAACGTACCTCTCGTGTGTGAACAAGGAGCCGGTGAACTTGTAAAGTTCTCTTACACTGGCAAAAGCCGACCGATAACTGAACTGAGCTTACTATTATCTGGCTTAGTCATGGCAACACCTTGCAAAATAAGCGGATAGTGTGAGTTATCACGGTCGGTCCCCGGTGGCTGCGAACTCAGCTGATACACGAGAGGCTTGACAAGTTTCATTGTTTGGCAAAAAAATAGTGTTTGAGCCTGATTGGGCATAAACTAAGCTTTGCTGGATGTGTAATATGCGTGTTCATGTCTTTTGAACACAACAACTATTATTTAACAAAATGAAACAACGATCGAGATTACTAGATTCAAGATTTAATACAGTATATCGATATTGCAAGTCCTTCGAATTTAATTATGTAATATTCTCTATCGATTTAAATAACATTAGGCATAACCTAATTCAACAGTTAATTAGTTAACTAGTGTACCTGTTGCTCGAATTCGAGCAATTGCGAAGCATTTCAGGCGACTCACGAAGATTATGGAAATACTCACGATCTACACAACAGTTAGATAAAATCAAAATCTTTTGTAAATATCTTGTATTTTCTCAAAAAGCTGATCTTGTTTTTTAGTGTTTCTACAAATTATTCCCTCTCTTAGCCGCATTAGGTTGTCTATAATAGATTGTAAATGAAAAAAAAAACATTATTTCTTTTCTTCTACCTACTTGGTTGTGTTCTATGACTTTTTCTATGTTTCCATTGTTTGCAAATCGGTTATTTCAATGATTGCTCAAGAAATGTAGCATATTGTTAATTTAGTTTTATTTTTAGCCAATATCAAATTGTCCAGGATTTCTCGCTTTTTTCCATTGTAATAATTTCACCAACCCAAGTTTCGTCTACAGATGGAATACGCCAAAGAATATCACCTACGTACAATCTCCAAGAAGTGGTAAAAAAGGGAGAAACCAAGCCATACAATAGATATAAGTTAACTCCATAAGAAATAATTTTAAGAGTTACTGTGATATTAGGATTTTCCACTGATTTGGTAATAGAACATTATATTGCAAAACATGACACGATGCAGAATAAAATCAATTTTAAAATCAGAAAAACCCATTGCAAATACTGTACTTCATTTTGAAAAAATCAATAAATCACAATTTAAATATTAACAGCTGTTTCATTAAAAAGTAGTGTTGAATTATGCATATGGTAAACAAATTTAAAGATGCACCTTTAAGGCTTCTGGGGCAGAGCCCCAAGGGAGTTTACCTCATTCCTCTTTTGATGGCTCATCTACAGACCAAGACCTTTCTTTAGAGACCCCTACCAAGTTTCTAAGCCCAGCCGTTCTCTCAAATTAGCTGTGACAAAAACCCCGTTTTCCTCCATAAGAATAACATGGGATGGGAATTTAAAGGCCACGGGGGCAGAGCCCCAAGGGAATTCACCATGTTTCTCTTTTGATGGCTCATCTACAGACCAAGACCTTTCTTTAGACACCTCTACCGAGTTTCTACGCCCAGCCGTTCTCTCAAAATAGCTGTGACAAAGAAAAACAGTTTCAAATTAATATATAGAAGAAAGATTTTGCAGCAGCTTTTTTATATATTTTTTTATATTTTTTTCCTAACTACAATTAATTGTGTTTGTAATAAAATGGAATAATACATAGAATAACATAATTCAAGAGTTGATTTCTCGACTAAATGCTTCGACTTGAACCATGCTTAACTAATGCAATCCTCTCTATCGCTATAACACTAGGTATAATTCCACACTTAATTTATTCAAACTGAGTGAGAAAAGCTGTGTTGTATGTCAGATGAAAAATCACTAACGCAGGTACATTAAGCATCTTGGAATTTTAGTCAATTGGATTTTAATTGCAAATAAATAACATACTCAGTAAAAAAAAAAAACCATGACAGTTTATGGGGAAGACGTTTTCAAAAGAATTAATTCTTTGACTTTTACCCAGATTAGGAGCAAATGGTTTACGAACAAAATAATTTAAAACTAGGCATTAAAATTACTTAACTCAGGTTTCAAGAGTAAAACAATCTAAACAATGACGTTAATAATTAACTCAATAGCAAGAGCTGATAAGGTTGATTTGTATTAAAATAATTCAGCAAAAAGCAATTAACGACGTAATTGACCACAAACTACTAGATCGGTTGTGACGTATCAGCGTTCTTAGAAAACCAATAAAGTTATGATAACAGTTAAGCGAGGCGGTGACTACAAAGAATACAGATCTAAGACCTTCAACGCATGGCTTTAATGAGCTATACAAAAATGTTTACAGTCTAAGTGAATTTGCGATTGTTTTTATGGGTTTTAATGGACATTAATAAATTAAAATTACAACACGAAGTAGTCCGCATTCGCATAATGAGTGTTTGATGGATGGACACAAAAACGATGTTAAGAAAAACGTATAGAATCAAAAGAATTGCCATATTTTATAATCGAAGGCTACAACAATGATTTTATTCTCTAAAACATGTCCGAAACCAATCAACGTGGACTAATTACTGTACGTAACGTAGTAGCACTTTATTAGATAAAAACTACCTAAACTTACAACATGTATGTCGCAACCATTGTGTAAGCAAACGTCCCCTATATTAAATAAGTACTGTAATACCATAAGTCTCATGGTAAGACCTAGATCCGGAAAAATTATTATCACCGAAAACATAAAATTTTTCCTAAATAATTTTGTAAAATACAAAAATTTAATAAGTACATATAGTTAGTACATTGAAGCGTTACCAATGGTTACAGAGAAACTAAAAAATAGAAACCTTGTTATTCTTATGGGGAATAAGCTAACCGCTATAGAAAAGGTTTTTTATTACTGTATATGTTTTTCCTTCCATGTGCAGTATTGAAACATAGATTAAATGAGTAGACTCCTTAACATATGATTGACATTAATGTTATTTTGATCGGAAATAAATTACCATTACAGGAAATATCCGAGCAAAATATCAGAGTAGTGGAAATTCTATCAGTCTGAAGTTTTGGGGCGGGGCGGTGGGGGTATTTTTTGTTCCTGGTAACCCAGAAACGAAAACTACGGAGGTCTCGGACCTAGGTCTTAAGATGACGACTTCGGAACAACTACTTATTTTTGGAAATTCGACAAAAGCGATTTAAATTATTATCAAGACGAAAAGAAAGGTGAAAAGATATGCCGGACGGTGCTGCTCTCGCGGAGTAGTGGATATACCGTGAACTACCAGGAAACGTAACAGTACTAGAGTACATTGCATTGCTTTACTACACTCCTTCACCGCATGGCACAAATAAGGTATTTGAGTTATTTCGTATTAACAAGCGAACGTGTGTTATAATTATTCAAAATAATATGCGATGTATTTTATAAACACAACTGGAATTGTTGCATCTCAACCCTTACGGTTGGAAATGGATTGTTAAGATGTATTAAAAGAGAAAGTTGTAGTTTCATCTAAAATAATTTATAGACAGACCCCGAGTAAAATTTTTATAAAAAAAAAATGCATTTTAACTGTCCCGTCTTAAATAAAATAGGCGTTTGGTTAAGCCAGCGATCACATGAAACCAAAGCGAACGTATATTGTACAAACCAGGTATTTAAATTAGGCTAAACAAGAACAAAAGTTACATCAGTACCACCAAACTAAATAATTTTAACACAGGCAGAGGAGATGCAGCACACTATATACCTAGGAGAAATAGGTTTAATAAATGATAATGGCGCGTGCGATAACCATGCAGCATGGGTGACGTATGACAATTTGTTAGCACTGAGGTACTGCTAAGGTGTACTATACTGGTATAGTAGTGGGAGCTGAACAAATAGCCGACCAAGTCATTAACTATCACCAAACGACTGTCAGATAGCCACTAGACGTATTGTGG